TGGAGGCAGAGGCTGGAGGGTCTCTGCGTTCGAGGCCAGCCTGGTCTACAGAGAGTTCTAGAATAGCCAGGGCCGTGCTGTCTTGAAACAAAACCCTAAGGTGGGGAGTGGTTAAGGACAATACCTGAAGCCAACCTCCAGACTACACACACACACACACACACACACACACACACACACACACACACACACGCATCTCAGGGCCGGCGATGGTTGCTACAGCACCGAGTGTCACTGGATCCTGGAGGAGGCTCTGGCTTCCAGGGCTGGGCGGCTTCTGTGGTCACAGGCAGCCGCAGCCAGGGTGGGCGTCTCTCACTTGCTGTCCTGGGCTACGGCAGCCCCCGGGGCTGTGGTCCAGCTCATAAGGGGTTAAGAGGCTCACTGATTGCAAATTAGGCTTAATTAATCCTTTTCATCAGCTGCAAATATACCTTCTGAACCCTATTAAGAACATGAATATGCAAATGCAGACCTTTTAAATTTTCATTTTCAAGGACTTGGGTGTTGGGGTTTGATTAGTGAATTCCGTTAACAGCTTGTAAACCTTGTGTAAAATTTAATTTTCTATTTTAAGTATAATATAAAAAAGAAAGAGGGGAAAGGTTTGGTGGCGGCTGGCAGTTGGGCTAATTGTGGGATGATACTGGAGCCTGGTGCCAAGCCTTCTGGGGTGCTGTTGACACCCCTCCTTCCTGCTGTTAGCCCATTTTCCAGGTGTGGAGACTGAGGCCACAAAGGAAGGTTGGTGCTGGGGCAGTTCGGAACAGAGGCTCCTGACTTTCTGGCTCAGGCATTCCCAGCAGGAAGACCTCATTAGGGCCTGAGACTTGGACCATGCCCTCCAAGGCCCCAGGTGTTTATGTAGGCCAGTTACCTTCTGTCCTGCACCCCCGGGGCCGGGCCACTCTGCCACTCTGGAGAAAGTGTGTGCCGGCTAGTTTTCCGTCCGCTTGTCACACACGCGCACATGGAAGCCGGAGGACAGTGTCAGGCCCTCCTCAACCTCTCCACCTTTATTTTTGAAACAGAATCTCTCATTGAACCTTGACCTTGTCCATTCAGCCAGGCTGGTGGCCAGTGAGGCCAGCATGCACATTCTTCTGGGATTACTGACATGCAAGCCCTCCCCCCAAATTCCCAGAGTCTGGGGACCTGAACCCAGCCCCTGCTCTGCACAGCTGGCCCTGGACCCACGGAGCCGTCTCCCCAGCTGCGTTCCTGGTTTGTTTCCAGACAAAGTCTTGTTCTGTAGTCACTCTATGCTGGAAGTTACTATGTAGCCTTGAATTCATCCTCCACCCGCCTCAGCTTCTTGAATGCTGGGGTTACAGGGTGCACTCAGACCTGACAACTTGCACGGTTGTCCTTGGGCAGGGACCACAGTGACCTCCGGGTTCCAGCCTTTGGAGATGTGCTGCTGGCTGATGCACACACCTGGCCGAGTCAGTGTAGCCCAGGCTGGCCTCGATCTCATGACCTCCTCAGCAGGCTTACCTCTACACTTCTGTTTGGTATCTTTGAGTATGTACAATGTGTTTGCATGCACGAGTGTGCGTCTGTGTGTGTTCCACATCATGCATGTGGAAGTCTTGACTTCTCAACCTCACTAATGCTGTGACCCTTTAATACAGTTCCTCATGTTTTTGTGACCCCCACAACTGTAAAATCACTTCTGTTACTACTTCATGAGTGGATTTTTGCTCCGGTTAGAATTATACTGTAAATATCTACTATGCAGTGGTCTTAGGCGACCCCTGTGAAAAAGCTTTGAGAACCATTGTCCCGGGGCTTCTCTGGTCCCCATTTCCCGTCTCTGCAGAAGCACTGGGATTCTTTTAGCTATTCTGGTTTTTTGTTTTGTTTTGTTTTCATTTGAAGTTGAGAAGTTTTCTTTCAAGGTCTGTAAAGAATTGTTGGTATTTTGATGGGAATTGCATTGAATCTGTAGATTGCTGTTGCCTGCTCTTTGATCGCTTCCCCCTGGCGATGCGGCCTTGCCAGGCCACAGAGGAAGAGGACCCAGGCTGTCCTGATGAGACCTGATAAGCTATGGGCAGATGGCAGGGGAGGAGGACTCCCCCTTAGGGTTAGGGAATAGGGGGGAAGAGGGAGGGAGGATGGGACCAGGAGGAGTTGAGGGAGAGAGCTTCAAGCAGGATATAAAATGAATAAATTGTAAAAAATAAGATAATAAAAGGAACCACTGGGCTGACAAACGTGAGCGACTGTGTGTGTGCGTGGATTCTGGGGATCCAGATTCGTGCCCTCACACTTTGCAGCAAACCCTACCCACTGAATTATCCTACCAGCTTAACCCGGCTACTCCGGGTCTCTGTGTGGGCACGTGCATTCAAGTGCAGCGCCCCGGGGGACAGAAGAGGGCGTCAGATTTCCTGGAGCCAGGTGAGTGTGAGCCTCCTGACACGGGGTCCTCTAGAGGAGGCCTCTGTGTCCTTAACCACTGAGCCACCTCTCCAGCCCCTACAGAGCATCTGAAACGATGTGTGCCACCAGCATGGCATTTCCTTGAGACAGCACTGTTCCATAGGTGAGAAGAGACTGATTAAAATATCTCCCCGCATATATGCAGATTACAAGCGATGCACTAAACAGAATGCAAGGTGGCGATAAATGTCACAAGGAAAACAGCCGGGTGGGAAGGCGGGACCCGCCTGCCATCTTGGCTTAAAGAACACATTCCACACCCCAGCCCAAGGGCGAGGCTTCTACACACATCTCCTTGGGTCCTCAAGGGCCACCCGTGTCGGCGTTCTGATCACCTCTCTTCGTAGGTGTGTGTGTGCACACGGAGAGGCCAGCCAGCAAGCAGAGGCATGGTTTCTCAGGAGCCGTTCACCTTACTCACTTCTGCCACAGGACTCTCACTAAGCCTGGTGCTCACTGACTAGGCTAGGCAGGCCGGCCAGGGAGTCCTAGGCATCCTCCTGTCGCCACCTCATGCTGGGGATGAGGTGAGAGGCGCAGCCATACAGCACACGGCAGCTGCCTCGAGCACAGATCGACTCCAGACAAGACGCTCTCTAACCAGACCCTGGAATCTGGCATTCATTTGCTTTTAAAGAGGGCGGCACAAGGGGCCAGTGAGGTGGCTCGGCAGGTAAAGGTGCTTGCTGCCAAGCCTGAGGACCTGAGTTCAAATCCCCAGCACCCACATGGAGGAAGGAAAAAGAGAAGCAACTCCGGCAAATTGTCCTCTGACGTCCACATATGCTCCATAGTACACGCGCTACCCATAAAAAGGGAAAGCTACTTCACTCCGGCCCATGTTTACCCTCTGTTCTCGAGAAGCCTTCGGACAACCTTCCATGTTTGTGTCTTCCGGATCCAGCAATGAAACCTCAAGGCTATGGATCCTTGGATGGTTGTTGAGAAAAACAGAGCTGCACAGCAAAGCAGCTATTAAAAAAATCCCGTACAAAATCCCAGGGAACCATCCCGGCCCGCTCGCTTATCCACACAGAAGGTGTGCAGATCCGCCCACCGGCTGGGAGCCGAGGGAGGGGCTTTCTTTCCGGTCTCCTTGGAGGCTTATTAGTTGTGCTTTATTGATGAGAACATATTCAAATGTCGGAGTTAACCAGAAAGGAGGCGTGAATGCAGACCTGGCTGGGACTCCACCTCCAGGGCCCCCCTCCCCCCGCGTGGCACTCCACTCTCTGGGGAGCAGGCAGCACTTGGGCTGCTGTTTGCCTGTGCACACACGTCTGCACAGGCTCATGCACGCATCGTCGATGCCCAAGACGGAGCGCACGTGCACATAGGCGGTTAGGACTCGGTGTTCCCACATGTGACCATCCGTACGGGGGGGCCCACTCTGCCTGTGTAATGGGGTGCCACGTGCCTGTGTGCGCATGTCTGCGCTCTCTCCTGGGAGCTCCTGGGCTGGCATCTCCCTTCTCAGCCTGAGGATGGAGACGGCCTGTGCTTGGCCTGAGGTGCTGACGGAGAGCAGGAGGGCCTGCCATGTAGGAGTCAGAGCCCCGAGGGACTCTGGAGCAGGGTCCTCCTCCCTAGCTACAGCCTGGGCCACCCAGCTCGAAGGGCGGGATCAGACAGGGATCAGCTTGCCATGGGAGAGCGAGCTGTGAGCTGGACGTTCAGCTGGGTGCAGTCGGTCCCTGCTGCCTAAAATCTAAGCTGATTTGGATGCTGCCCTGGTACCTTCACTCTGAACATCCTGGCGGTTTCTGGGGTGAGCCAGGAGATAGAGACACCCCGTCTACACTTCCCAGAGGGCCCTGCACCAGGCCCAGAGGACAAGGCAATGAAGAGTTCAGCCACTGGCCAGCACTGGCCACCCCAGCTGAGTGTGGCCAGAGGTGGTAGGGGCAGCGGGAGGGCCCTGGCAGGGGCACTGGAGGCCGGGACACAGCAAATCCTGTTACCTTCTGGCTGTCACCATGGCACTAATTCCTTGAAGTGAGTCATTAGCAGCTTAAGACCCATTTATCAGTGGGTGCCCACTGAGGAGCTGGTAGAAGCTGGGGGCTGCCAGAAGTGTAATTTTTTCTGGCCCAGGGGCTCCCGGGCCAAGCCGGAGCATTTCCAGCAAGCTGCCTCATTTCCACTCTCTCGAAGGCATGTGAAGAGGGTGTGTGTGGCAGAGAGGGACACGTGACCAGGTGCCTTGTCTCTCAGACCAGCCCAGACACATTCCCGACCCAGACCCTCCCCTTTCCACCTCTGCCCAAGAAAACCTGTGCAGATGGCTAGGCCCGGTGCTGGCCCTTGCAGAGGGAGCTGGCAAGGCAGGGTTACTCTCTGGACTTAGAGGCCTTGGGCAGGGAGAGGCAGGTGGAGAGACTGAGGCGGGGAGGAGACACCCAGCCTGGAGGGACAGCACACGAGCGTTTCCCCGACCCATCTACCTCTGCACGTCTGAGCAGGCCGGCCTGGTGCCCAGCAGAGCACTGTGGATGGTGTGGTGAGGCCTGGGCAGCAAGGTAGCTTGGTGCCTTGGACACAGTCAGGGGACATGCGATAAAGATAACAATTTATTTCATTAGGCTGAGGCTGTGGATTCGGGCCACAGCCTGGGAGTCAAAGTGACACAAGCATCCAAGCACGTGGGACTGGGGGTGGCATGGGGCACCTTGGGAAGTGTAGGAAAGGGACCCTGAACAGGGCCGGGGGTGGAGTCCCAGTGCTCAGGTCAAGAGAGAGTGGTGGGGTGTGATCTGGCTTGCTCATCCCACAGCTGCTTCTGCTGGCCAGGGTCAAGGACTCAGTGGCTGCTTGAGCAGAGGCCACAGCTAGTGTTTGTGAAAGGATGGGTGGGGTGACTCTGTGGGAGGTGGAGGGCTAGGCCAAGGTCGGGGCTGCAGTCTGAGAGGCTGCGGGTTGAGGCTAGGCGGAGGTCCAGCGGCTACGGCGTGAGCTGCTCTCGGGAGCGGCTACATGGCAGTCTGCCGGCTGAAGGGCTCCATAGTGAGCACGCTGAGGAAGGCTCTCGGGAGCGGCTACATGGCGGTCTGCCGGCTGAAGAGCTCTATGGTGAGCGCGCTGAGGAAGGCGGGAATGCTGTCCTGCTGCAGCAGGTGCAGCTCAACGAGCTCCGGCACGGACCGAGAGAACTCCGTCTCCAGCAGCTGCATCTTGGAGCCCGAGGGTCCTGTGGCCTGCAGGAGGAGAGAGAGGGCGTCAGCGTGGCTGCTGGGCAGGTGCCCGCCCCCGTCCTCACATGCTCCTCGGTGGGGGGGGGAGGGGCAGGGACCGCTGTGCTGCCTGCCACCAGGAGTGCAGCCCGGGCTACAGGGGCACTGGCTTGCTTCTGCCCACTGTCCAAAGTTCAAGGTCATCAGCTGAGGTTCAGGACAGGCAGACAGCCCTGCCCCAAGGCTATCCCAACTACCACCAGCATGGATTCCTGGGGACCTGCACTCTCGACACAGGCTCTCCAGCTCTTACCTGCCTGACCCAGGGGGGGTGAAGCAAGCTCAGAGCGCCTTCCAGACTGGGAAGCCAGGATGCTGGGTGTCGGTGGAGGTTTGGCCCTGGCATGGTGGACTCTGGAGCCCAGAGTGGCTCCTGTCCTGTTGTCACTTGTAAGTGAAGGGAGGATGCAGTGGCTTTCCGACTGCTGTGACGGGGGGGGGGGGGGGGGGGGGGGGGGGGGGGGGGGGGGCGGGGTACAGTTTGGAGACACAGCTGCGGGGGAGCACAGCTCCTTCCCTGGGCCTGCCTAGGGTATCTGGCCGTCTGGGCAAGCTGCCCTGTCACCATGCAGGCTGGGCTGGGAGAAGCAGCCAGAGGCACTGGGCCTTCCTGTCCTCCCAACTTTCCCAGCTCTCACACATCCTGGGGCTCCTAAGCCACGGGTTCAGCATGGCCAAGATGTAGAAGGGCTGCCTGGGTAGGAGAGAAGAGGTTCTGCTTGAAGGCCAGGCACTAAGTGACACACGCCTTTAATCCCGGCACTCGAGAGGCAGAAGCAGGTGGATCTTAGTGAGTTCGAGGCCAGCCTGGTCTACAAAGTGAGTTCAGGACAGCTGGCGCTCTGTTACACAGAGAAACCCTGTCTTGAAAAACAAAAAAACAAACAAACAAACACAAAAAAAAAAAAAGAAGAGGAGGAGGAGGAAGAAGAAGAGGAAGAAAAAGAAGCACCACAATGCACACAGGAGCACTCCCAAACCTCAGGTGTGGACAAACCCAGCAAACCCAGAGTCCACCCCACTCAGCCAGAGAGGCCCAATTAGGAGCTGGCCACAGGTCAGACTGGATGGTTCTCCAAGCAAGAAACATAGGGTCTGATAAAGCAGACGAGCTTAGGGGGTCCCCAGGGGGACGGAAGTCGGGCTGTTGGGACAGCCATCCTAAGCCATCTCATGGGGGAGGATGAGAAATCAGAACGCCCGTGCGCTGGCAGCAGGAAGCCCAGCTACTGTGGAAAAGCCTGGCAATTCCTCCGCCTGGACCATGTTATCAATGTGCACCCAGGACAACTCAACACACACATGCACACCAAGACGAACATCAAATGTCCACAGTGACATGATTCGAAATGGCCTGAAGGATGCAGGAATCTGCGAGGGCAGCTTAGCTACATACATAAAGGTAACCATGAAAAGGGACAGCATGAGGTATGACAGCTCAGGGCCAGCTGAACACGGGAGTCTGTTTAGATGATGTTTACACGAGGCATCTATAGAGGCGCCACGGCGGAGGCAGGAGGCCAGCTGGTGTGTATCAGGGTGAGAGAGGTAGGGAGTGCCTGCTTTGGTGACAGTGTGTCTCTGTGGGTTAGCCTGTGCCAACGAACGCACAGTGGATGTGTTAATGAGAACCATCATGTGGCCGTGCTGCAGCCGCGGCAGGGACGTCTGTTCTGAAAGGCCCCTCCTGCCAGCGGCTCTGCAGGGGCCCGCTCCCAGGAGCCGCACAGGTGGCCAGGCTGCTCCCGCAGGTCTGGCGGCCAGGCTGCTCCCGCAGGT